TGTGTGTGTGTGTGTGTGTGTGTGTGTGTGTGTGTGTGTGTGTGTGTCTGTCTTTGTATAGAATTCACAATAGATCAAAAATATATAAATATAAAAATAAAGTGCTTTTAACAGATAAAGATGAAAACAAGATGGATCTACCTATAGATTGATCTAGATAGTGTGGTAGGAAAATGTACGTGTGTATTGAATGTAACCATGAATTCACACCAATAATCTGATATGTTTTTACTGTACGAATGGTTTATCCAATCACCTATTCTAAGTATATGCACACTTATGAATCATATTATCCTTTAAATCACAGGTATAGAAAAGTTCGCTCTTTGTAGAGACATCAGCTTGATTGTGAGCATAGAGTGAGCTCGGGATGCCGGGCCAGGTGATGAGGAAGAGGGAGCTGTCAGATGACTATAGTGGAGTCCACTCATGACGTCTTTAGAGTGGACGAGGAAATATAGCACAAAGGAAGGTTTGATGGACGGACAAAAATAGGTCATTTAGAAGAACCCGAGGTTCGTAGCCTGCTCTCATGTACAACTCATCCCAAAATATTACCAAAGAATGCCAGTAATGTGATTTTCTCGCTGTCCCAGTCGTTTGGCTGTGATCGTGGCATAAGGCTGGTCAGCAGAGGGTGCACAGTGGCCCGGGTCATAGCAGCGGGAGGATACTCAAGGGAATAGAGGGCCAGGAGCAGATGTGTGTGAGTGTAGGGTTGCTAACGGGTGTCATCAGAGAGGCCTCTTCCTCCTCCTCTTCCTCCATGCTCACCACCAAGTCCTGCTCTTCTCCAAACTCAATGAAGTCCATCAACAATCACTGCAGTAATCAGATCATTTGAGTCTACAAGAATGACCTTAAAACAGATTCCTTAATCTGTGGGATTTGACACTTTTCTCATTTTAATTATTTGTAGTGCAGTTTGCCAGCAGCTATTTGTTTTTATTAGTTTAAATGAGGAGTGCTAACAGGGATCAAGTAGCTGATGGACATGTTTAAATTCTAATATAATGTGCAGAGATCAAATTAAAGAAGCATCCAATTGAAAATAAACACAAAAGAAAACCATGCTGTGTGTCATCTAACAGATATAAACATGCTATTATCTCCATTCCCACCTATGACCGCTGCATTTTGTGCTTCATGAAGTCAATACAAAGAGTTTAGTCCCTTTCAGCATACGGCCACCACTCCATTGACTCATGACAGCTGTTCCCATTGCGACACCCAAACACAACTTCCTTCTCTCAAAGCTTTTGCTGATGAAGCTCAATGTGATTTTGTGGTGTTGAGGATGTGTGTTGCTAGATGATCTAATCCAGCATGGTTCCGCTATTTGACACAAGAGAAAATGGCTGCCACTAATGGCTGAACGCTTTAGAAAAGAGAGAAAGTAAAAAGAATGAATGTTAAATGGACTTTTACTGCATGATGAATCCTTTTACAATTGAACACATGCTGCTGATAATACTTCTTTCTACTTTTATTTTCAAATCCTGGTAATCGAGTACTTTTGCGTAATAAAACGTCTGTTTATGGTGTTAAGTTGGAATATTTAATTTCGCTCCTGCATGTCTTTGTGGCCAGTTTTGCTGACGTAGAGGAAATGAAACTGGCAGCACTTGTTGACACTTCTTTTATTTTTTCGTTAGGGAAGTTCCTGTCAGACAGCAGATGAGAAGAAACTCAGAGAAACTCAGGCTGACGACGTAAGTCTCATGTGGATTTGATGCTTTCCTCTTATATTAACTCTGTTTTAACTTCTTATTTCATTTAACTTTCTGGTTTTGCCAATGTTGAATTTATTTAGTTTCTTTTATCCATTTAACCTGTCATACAGTATGTCATGTTTGTAGTGTTGTCTCCTCTTTTTGCTTACTTTTATTTACTTTATGTATCTAACACTTTGTTGCTGTAACTGTTGGTACGCCCCATGTCTATAATGCATTACAAACATACTTATAACAATATAGATATTGTGCTTATAGCACTGTGTAATTATAGTTATAAGAAGTCATGTATATGACTTAAAAGGTCAAGTATCATAATACTTCATAATTGCTTGTCTCTGACTCACTTTTCAAGGATCATAGTGTGTTATAATTCTCTACTCGTCATACATTATGATCATTTCATAATGCATTATGATCATTTCATAATGCATTATGATCATTTCATAATGCATTATGATCATTCCATAATGCATTATGATCATTCCATAATGCATTATGATGTGTTTACTCTTGGGTGAAGAAATGAGGTATCGGCGGACATGATGCATTACAAGCTGCTTATAGGTCACTATGGACGTTGTTTCATATCAATAAATCTATACGAGAACGACACACAAAACGTTGTAAAACTAATGATGCTGTATGTAGTAAAACAATTATGAAGTATTATGACCTTAAGTCATTAAAGTGCTTTATAATTTTTTATGATTATTGCATTAAGAGTTATGAATATTTATGACTCATGACTATCATTATACAGAGCAATTAGCAGATAATAACACACTACTAGTATGTTTATAATGCATTATTGACGTGGGTGTCATTAACAGTGTTAACCAACTGTTATATAAAAAGTATAATAGGCCTGAAAAATAAAGGTCCTCTAGTGGATGAAAATATGGATATGCTCACATATTTGTTGGTGTTTATGGGCTCAGTTTAGTTAACAGTTATGCTCCAATTCTGAATTTGAGAGCAATACAAATTGCTCTGCCTCTATGCAGTACATTTCTCTGTGTTGGGGCCGTGGCTGAGTTCACTGTAAGTCAATGCGCACCACCTAGCAGACACTTGGTAGAACCCACAGACTGGCCAATCACCCGACGACACGCTGCTTTAAGCATCACTCAGGTAAAATATATGAATGAACCCAACAATAAGCAGAGTATGCACATTTTTACTTCTCTCACAACAGATGTGTAGTAACTCTGTCATGTTGTTCATTCTGTACACATGACATCTATTGTCACGTCTGTCCATCCTGATAGAGGATCCCTCCTCTGTTGCTCTCTCCAAGGTTCCTTCCTCTTGCTTCTCCCCGTTAGAGAGTTTCTTTTGGGGGAGTTTTTCCTGAACCGATGTGAGGGTCCTGGGAAGGAAGGTGTTGTATGTGAGCAGATTTACTTCTATGAGAGAGAAATTTACAGTACTTTATATTCCAAGACAAAACCTTGGGACAGTTGGAACCAGTTTCCTTAAACAAAAGTAATGAAGACAGATCTCACCAAAGCAGCAGAAAGCACCATGATACATTAAAGGACCAGTGTGTAGCATTTCGGGGGGAACTATTAGCAGACATGTAATATCATATTTTCATTAGTTTATAATCTGCACTCACCGGCTCAGGTTACCGCAGTCTTGGAAAGGGAGGGGTGAACTGAGGGGTGTTCAGTTGGTTGCAATCTGCAACCGCACCGCTAGAAGCCACCAAATCCTACGCACTGTCCCTTTAACTCAGTTGCCGATACAGTAGGTGGTTTCTGAGCTGGTAACCTAATGAACCATGCGTATAGGCCTAGTTTTGTACTGAACTGAACGGAACAGCTCGAACTACAAAGAGACTGAACTGAACTGAAGACAGTTGTAAGCAGCACCTACATACTGCTATTGCTTATTGATGTGGAGACCGTAGTGCATTTGAATGCTTATTTAAACTAGAATTACCGCCTTGCAGTTGTATGCGTCCACCAAAAAAGTCATGTTGCAGTTTACAAAATGTCATATCCTGTACGCTGCAACTCGCAATGCAGACTGTGTTTTGCATTTCACTCACAGGAAATCCCCTTCCTGTACTGAATCAGGCCAGTGTGCTGCTGTGAAAAGGGTACACCCAATATGAATCTGTGTGAGGAGGGAGAGGAGGATGTCCCGCCTTCTAAAGTCTCTCTCTCTGTGCAAAATGTCAGCCAGACCAAAGCTAAGAGGTAAGATGAGGCTGTTATGCATTTCAAGAGCTGAGATGTGAAAGCATTTAAACCTCACCGTAAATCAGAATAACAAGAAAATCTGTGTTTTCAACTGAAGGCCAGTTCAGCAGGAGACACCAGACTCCCCTGAGCCCAGCGGTGTGTCAATGACGAGCGACCGCTCCATTACTGAACCCTTAGCCTTCAGAGATGGAAGTCACTCTACAGAGCAGAGGTGAACATACTTAAATATACGTATAGTTGAAAAACACGTTGTAAACCCAATGAAAACAAGACATTTTAAATGCCGATGCTTTCACTATTTCTATCAGAGTCGAGAAGGAGACACCAGACTCCCCTGAGCCCAGCGGTGTGTCGATGAAGAGCGACCGCTCCATTGCTGAACCCTTAGCCTTCAGAGATGGAAGTCACTCTACAGAGCAGAGGTGAAAATGTCTTCAATTTAAAAAACACTTGGTGAGCCCAATGAGAACAACGCAACAATGGCGACGCTTTCTGTATTTCTATTAGAGTCCAGCAGGAGACACCAGATGTGTCTTTTAAAAGTGATCACTCATTCCAGTGATTAAGAGTAGTGACCTCATCAAAGGAAATGAATCGGGTTTTTGAATTGTTTTTAGAAGGATCTTTACACATCCGTCCGTACACCTAGCACCCAAGAAGTGGAGCCATGTTTCTAGCGAGCAGAAAGGAGCTATTGATGCTCTGAAAACAGAAGAAGAGATTCGACAACGTCTGACACTGACGCATGTAGTATGAAGAGCGAATGAGTCCACACAGCACAGACGAAAACTGGCAAAGTCACCTGGTCTGGATGACTTCCTCAATGGATATTATAAGAAATATATTGATATCCTGGCTCCCATTTTACATGGTCTGTATTTGGAGTGATTTGAAACAAGCTCTCTAATTGATACATTTAATGATGCTTTCATTTCTCTTATCCCTAAAAAGGAGCGAGATACTGCAGACTCATCTAATTCCAGACTCATTCTGACTCAGACAAAGACACCGGCGTCACGTTTAGAGAAAGTACTACCAGACATCATAGATGGTGATCAAGTTTAATTATAGTTTAAACAGGTCTTCACTTGATAACATGCTCTGGCTTATACATCTTACATCTATAGATCGCTCTAGTCCGATAGCGGTGGAGGCCTTCTTGCTTGATTTTGGATTATTTAGTTTTAAATAAATAAAAAACTTTAAAAACAGAAAAGTGAGCGTTCTATGAAGCCACCTCTCCTTCAAACACAGGCACCGCTCTACCGTACAAAGGCAAGACTTTACACTGGAGGAGTTTGTTTAATTTGGCAGCTAACTCTTACGAAACCTCAAATTCAAATCTCATTTGAACTTGACTAGAACTGCATACAGTTTTATTAGGTAAATGATAGGAGTGTGTGTGTTGATATCTGTGGATCATTTACAATTGATGTTTTCTCCACAGAGTCCACCAGGAGAGGTCCGAGGTTACCATCACTCACTCTGACAGTGAACACAATGAGGCAGATCTGGCCTCCATATTCATGGTGTGTACATTGTCTAACTACTAGACAAATAATCACTTCAACATCTTTACAAATTAAGCACACTCAAATGGCAAATTTCTCCAATATTACAACATATGACAACATAATATTGACAAATCACAGTTAAATCCCAAATCACCCTTAAACCATTGTGTAGACTGCAAAGGGCCCAAAGAAAAATGGCTACCCAAAATATGTGGGGCCCAAATGCAAGTACCGTTGTGGTTCAATAATGATGATAATGGAGTATTCTACAGTATTCTACCCTGGCATGTAACATTGTGGGGACATTGACTAAATTTACGTTTTAATCATTTAATTCTTCTTGTTTTGGGGCCAAAACTATTTCAAATGTCAATGCTATTTTGGTGTCTGAATTATTGTCTTTTTGTCTCTGGTAAAATAGTATTTTGAAGGAAAGAAGAAAAACACCAATAAAACAGGTGACCGCGGACGTTTGAGCGGCAGAGTATAATGAATTTATAGGAAGGTATCTTTTTTTATCACCTTTCCAAAACCAAAGCTCAGGAAATGACTCACAGCTCCACAACAAGCTATAAATTATACATGTGATACATACGTCAGAAATATTATGGCGTTTTAAAGTTAGTATGACTGATGTGTCATCAAACTCATGTATACACATCCAGCTGACTCAGACCGACCTCAGCATTAATTCCGAGTGTTTCTGGCAGCCTGACAAATATGAGTCTCTTCCAGATGAATTCCTCTTAATTAGAAAATGACCCTACTTCCTACTACCTCAGTAAACATCGTAAACATGAGTTTATTATCTCAATCACTACTTTCAAGTCTTCTTCCGCACAGCATGATCATTGAGTAAATTATGGTCCCATTTAGAATAAATAGACCAGCAGGGTGTGTTCAGTTTGTGAAAGTTAATTGTAACCTTTTTGGTCACCTAAAAAAGGCCTTGTTTAGCTTTTGGTCGTACTTAGCTCCACCCTCTCCTGTGGTGACGACCAAAAGCTAAGATGGCGATGGCCAAACTCCAGGCTTCAAAACAGCAGTCCACAAACCAATGAGTGACATCTCTGTCATCATCTTCTTATAGACCATCAATGGTCCCTTCTTGCTCTGCAAACACCTGGGTTTTTAATTCACTATATGTTCCATATGTTCACCAGTTAAAAGCCAATGGGATACAGTCAGGCGGTGGCTATGACCATAGGCTTTTCACCCAGCCTTTGAAAACTGCCTCAGAATAAGCACCTTGCTACATTGCTTGTTTGAACCTTGATCTGTCCCATTAATTCCACATGAAAGATCATATTTTACATATTATTACAGCTTCTGGAGGAGAACGTCATCACTTTTGTGAAGACTGAGCTGAAGAAGTTCCAGGGAGTTCTTAGTCCAGATTACCCAGAGTGCTTAGAGAGGCAGAAGAAGGATGAGGAGGTGGTGGATGGTGAAGAGGAAGAACAGAGGAAAAGCAGCAGAGGGGCACTTTTAAAGATCGCACTGCATTTCTTGAGGACAATGAAGCAGGAGGAGCTGGCTGACTCTCTACACAGCAGTAAGTGTTTCTACAGAAAGAATGGGAAAATGGTTGAAAATGCTGGCGATCCCACAAATTTGGTCATGGTCTTTTTTAAATATTTAAATCATAAGTAATGAGCACAATCTCAATGGATAATTTGGAACATGGAAAATGTTTGAGCACAATGGTTTGCATTAAGAGTAAAGAAAACAGCCCCTCTTGCTTATGCAACCACTACAGGTGAGCAGAATCCCAGAGTCAACGAATGCTGTATTTGCCTCTAAATAACTGTATTGCTCTTTTTTGTGTAGGAACTCTTGCTGCAGAGCCCCAAAATAAACTCAAACTAAACCTGAAACAGAAGTTCCAGTGTATGTTTGAGGGAATTGCTAAAGCAGGAAACCCCACACTCCTGAATGACATCTACACAGAGCAATACGTCACAGAGGGAGGAAGTGGAGAGGTCAATGATGAACATGAGATCTGGCAGATTGAAACAGCAGCCAGGAAATCATCAAGGCCGGAAATTCTGATTGCATGTGAAGACATCTTCCAACCATTACCCGGCAGGGATCATCAACCAATCAGAACAGTGCTGACAAAGGGAGTGGCTGGCATTGGGAAAACAGTTCTAACACACAAGTTCACTCTGGACTGGGCTGAAGGTAAATCCAACCACAACATTCAGTTCACGTTCCCATTCACTTTCAGAGAGCTGAATGTGCTGAAAGAGAAACAGTACAGCCTGGTGGAGCTTGTACATCACTTCTTTACTGAAATCAAAGAAGCAGGGCTCTGCAGGTTTGAAGAGTTCCTGGTTCTGTTCATCTTTGACGGTCTGGATGAGTGTCGACTTCCTCTTGACTTCCGCAACAATGAGATCCTGACTGATGTTACAGAGTCCACCTCAGTGGATGTGCTACTGACAAACCTCATCCAGGGGAAACTGCTTCCCTCTGCTCGCCTCTGGATAACCACACGACCTGCAGCAGCCAATCAGATTCCTCCTGAGTGTGTAGGCATGGTGACAGAGGTGAGAGGGTTCAATGACCCACAGAAGGAGGAGTACTTCAGGAAGAGATTCAGAGATGAGGAGCAGGCCAGCAGAATCATCTCCCACATCAAAACGTCACAAAGCCTCCACATCATGTGTCACATCCCAATGTTCTGCTGGATCACTGCTTCAGTTCTAGAACATGTGTTGAGAGCAGATGAGAATAGGGAGTTACCCAAGACCCTGACTGAGATGTACATCCACTTCCTGGTAGTTCAGTCCAAAGTAGGGCACGTCAAGTATTGTGGAGGAGCTGAGACAGATCCACTCTGGAATTCCAAGACCAGCAAGATCATCATGTCTCTGGGAAAACTGGCCTTTGAGCAGCTGCAGAAAGGCAACTTGATCTTCTATGAGTCAGATTTAACAGAGTGTGGCATTGATATCAGAGAAGCCTCAGTGTACTCAGGGGTGTTCACACAGATCTTTAAAGAAGAGAGAGGGTTGTACCAGGACAAGGTGTTCTGTTTTGTCCATTTGAGTATTCAGGAGTTTCTGGCTGCTCTTTATGTCTTTGTGACATTCATCAAAGCTGGTGTCAACCTGCTGTCAGAACCACAATCAAGTTCCTGCTGGCCCCAGCTGTCATGGGAGAAATCAAAGGTAATTCCGCTGTACAAAAGTGCTGTAGACAAGATCGTGCAGAGTCTAAATGGACATCTGGACTTGTTTCTTCGCTTCGTACTGGGGTTTTCACTGCAGACCAATCAGACCCTTTTGCAAGAACTGCTGACACCATCAGGAGGCAGCTTCCAGAACTATCAGGAAACGGTCAAATACATCAAGAGGATGATCAGGAGGAATCCGTCTCCAGAGAGGTGCATCAACCTGTTCCACTGTCTGAACGAGCTCAATGATCATTCTCTGGTGGAGGAGATCCAACATTACTTGAGTTCAGGAAGCCTCTCCACAGACAAACTTTCTCCTGCTCAGTGGTCAGCTCTGGTCTTCATCTTGCTGTCATCAGAAAAAGACATGAATATGTTTGATTTGAGGAAATACTCTGCTTCAGAGGAAGGTCTCCTGAGGCTGCTGCCAGTGGTTAAATCTTCGAGAATATCCTGGTAGGTACACTGACAAATGGGCAGACATTCTACATTGAATGCAATCTTTTTTCTTGTGATAAAAGTTTTTCTTTCTGTCCCTACTGCCCTTAGCCTGAGAGACTGTAAGCTGTCAGAGAGAAGCTGTGAAGCTCTGGCCTGTGTTCTTGTATCCAAGTCCTCCAATCTCAGAGAGCTGGACCTGAGTAACAATGACCTGCAGGATTCAGGAGTAAAGCTGCTGTTTGCTGGACTGCAGAGTCCTCTCTGCAGACTACAAACTCTACAGTCAGTAGTCTTGAATGAATTCAATACATGATTAGTAAATCAGATTTTATTTTAGGCATTCATTGTTTTGGAACAGATGTGTTTGACTCACCCCAGTAGCACTATGAATTACAATCTGTCAGGGATCAGATTTCTATATTTCATCCCAGATTTTATTTCTTTTTAACCGGTGGCCATGATCTTTCCCTAACCAAGTATTTTATTTGCCTAACCTTCACCATACCACAAACTTAGTTTATTTACCATAACAATAATCTTTCTCGAAACATAACCACACCGTGCTTTCCATGCGTAGATATTATAGAAAAAAATAGTTCATAAAATGTAGTCATTTAACATAATCTAGAGTTTTGCAGAATGGTTCAATGTTAACATTCTTGTTGGTTGATGCTGGTTGGTTGGTTTGTCTTCATAAAAAAAAAAATCATTTTTTGAGAGAATCTTTTTTCTTTTTGCTCAAGTTGATTAATCAAAGTTTGTTTGTTTGTTTCTGCAAGAGACTTTAAAGAGACAATGTATACTTCCTGTGTCTGACTTGTATTTTTCTCGTCAGGTTGAGTGGCTGTAACTTGTCAGAGAAAAACTCTGAAGCTCTGGCCTCAATCGGTTCCCAGCCCTCCAGTCTGAGAGAGCTGGACCTCAGTAACAATGACCTGCAGGATGCAGGAGTGAAGCTGCTTTCTACTGGACTGGCAAAACCACACTGTAGACTGGAAATTCTACGGTCAGTAGTCATAACCCAATTCAATACATGATCAATAAAGCAGATCTTTGGGTCAACTGTATAGGTATCCACAGTTTTGCCTGTTCATAGTTGTTTGGTATCATAAGGAATTCAATTCATTCTGGACAATTGCGCAGGTCGCAATTTACATTCTGTGCAATACAGAATGTATTGTGACATGTAGTGATTGGTAAAGCAATGGAGTGGTGGTGGGCATGTAATGACATCCGACTTTGGACGGCATTTGCATTTATGGCAGGAATACACAGGCAATATAAAGAAAATACAGTTAATACAATTTAAAGATATACAATTTTCTTCGACAGTACCTTTTTTGAGGAGCTGCATGTCAGCTATGGCGGAGGCTATGCTGGCCTCATCTGTAGACTGTGTAGCTACAATGTAATCCAGCTCTAAATCTAGTTTGCTCATTTTTTAATTTACCATTGATTGTTTTCTAGTATTCAATGAGCATTGCAGCCTCAAGGGACTGCTATTCTGGTTTGAGACTTTTGGTCTTGGTGCAGTATGAATTTCCTTGACTTACCTTGCCTGAAACATCAGACAGTATGTATAAAATCCACATGACATATTCATTGGATATCTAAAAATGCAAATTTGATCACTAAGTCAGTTGTTTGTATTGGAGAAAATGTGTCCACTGACAGTATGGCACTATATTATCCCAACTAATTGAAGATATAGGCAACCAGTTCGAAAGTCTGTTCTGTAACTTAATGTGTTCATGTCTATTACTCATATATGTATAGGTTGTCAGGCTGTCAGGTCACAGAGGAAGGCTGTGCTTCTCTGGCCTCAGCTCTGAGCTCCAACCCCTCCCATCTGAGAGAGCTGGACCTGAGCTACAACCATCCAGGAGACTTGGGGGTCGAGCTGCTCTCTTCTTTACTGGAGGATCCGCATTGGAGACTGGACACTCTCAGGTAAGTGACGTCAGTGTACGGTTTCAGCTTAATTACAAATGTCTGTCTGTGTTTTTTCCCATTATTTCTTGTTTCACTTCTGCTTCAGTGTCGACCATGGTGGACGACATCGCTTGAAACCGTTCATGTGTAAGTTAACATTACTGATGCATTCCTAAAGTCATCAGCAACTAATATAGATGTACAACAGCTGCCAAGAGTTCTATAAAGACCATGCTTACCACCCATTATACAAATGCTATACCAAAGTTAGTGAGGTTGGATGACATTTATTAAAGAAGTGATGAAAAAGAAAACTTCAAAAAGATTTTAAAAAATGGATACGGTCAAGATTAAGGTAAAAATGGATCACCTCCATGTCTCACAGCTTTTAAAAACTAAACATTATAAATGGCCACGTAGAAATGTTCAATCTGGATAAGCATCAAAAACTAAACATAGCTTAACTTTGCATCAGATTTGAGTGAAATCAGATAGCATTTTTCTAGATATCTTGCTAAGATGTTGACGTCTTCAACTAATTGAAACGAATCACGAATGAAGCAGAACATGTCGAGCTAAAGTCTGTCTGAGTTGTGGCTTATTGTCCCCATCAGATGTCTGTGAACTCACGCTGGACCCAAACACAGCGAACACTAAGCTCTCTCTGTCCGACGACAACAAAAAGGTGACAGAGGTGAAAGAGGAGCAGCCGTACCCCGATCACCCGGAGCGATTCCACCACTGGAAGCAGGTTCTGTGTCGAGATGGTTTGACCGGGTGCTGCTATTGGGAGGCGGAGTGGAGAGGATGGGTCAACATTGGAGTGACGTACAAAGGAATCAAAAGGACAGGGGAGTGTGAAGAGGGTTGTCTTGGTGAGAACAACAAGTCCTGGGGCCTCTTCTGTTCTGCTAATGGTTACTCTGCCTGTCACGATAAGAGGACGACAGACATACGAGGTACCCGTGCCTCCGTCAGCGCTGGCAGAGTAGCAGTGTATCTGGACTGGCCCGCCGGCGTTCTGTCCTTCTACAGAGTCTCCACCGACACACTGATCCACCTCCACACCTTCCACTGCACATTCACTGAACCCCTCTATCCCATGCTCAGGTTTCAGTTAAGGTCCTCGTCTGGTTCTTCCGTGTCTCTGTGTAAGATTGAAGGGGAGCAATCAGCTCCAGTGTAGAGAAAGACCCACAGTGCTTCTGAAGCTGAATGCTAAATATCAAGAGGTCAAGGTTATTTAGATGCATTGATGTAGTAGTTACGGATGTTTGAAATCAAATGTGTTTTGCTGATCCTGAGAGATTATAGTTCAATATCCTTTAAGTATGAAATTGGTTTCACTGTGGTTCAAGTCAGGGCCAGAGTTTTGCTTTCAAAGGTGGGGGAGGGACACAGTTATTAGTTCAGGCACAAATCCTCTTTGACATGCAAAGTGTGGTGGAAAATTTCTAGGTTAATCGGGAGGAGAGAGTTTATGTTCTCAAATCAATAATGAAGTCATCAGAAGATTCAAAGTTGTCTTTTTCCGTTTATTCTCTTGCAAGAGGGAAGAAAGCACAGCAACTACGTATTCAGTAGACTGCGTGAAACCTTCTTTGACGAAATGCAATATTCAACATCATTTATGCATACACAGGTTCACGCCTTTACAACTTCAGATAATGCATCAAAAGGGGAGTAAACGTATTTCAGACAAAGGATGTCTGTTAGTCAAGGTCTCTCTGTGTCTCTGTCTTACCAACAAAGAAACAGTGTCTCTTCACTTCTCACCCTTGTGGGAAAAGATAAGAAGACACCTGGATACAAAACTTAATTAAAATCATCTGCAGAAACTGCTGCTCTGTGTCTGCCTGTGTTCCACACTTTCAGTTGTACATTCTCTAACATTTCACATGATACTATAACATAACCTAACTTATATACGTGGTCAAGATGTCTGTATTACGATCTATACTATAACATAATTTCCCATTACAAAAGTTGTCATAGACACATTTCACACAGACACTTACTGTTACTTAAGGTCATTTATGACGGTATGTCGGCACAGTTCAGGCAATCCTATTGATCAAGACATTGTTAGGTGGCACAAGCAAAAGCAAAATGTGAGGAGTAAAATGCTTCATACTAATATGAAACAAAGTATGCAGAAATAAATTGTTCTTATTGCTTGTTTACTTTTGGAGGAATGTCAAAAATATAATTTGAACTAGGAATGGTGTTTCCTTGATTTCATGTCCATGTCATGTTCCTCTGTTCCAGTGCAGAAGTCCAGTTTGCAGCTGTCGTTGGCTAAAACTAAACTATCAAAAAATGTAACTTATCCTCTGAAAAACAATCTGCATTATTCCTTACACCTGGACTGATACATTTTTCCTACCTGTAGACAAGCAAGTGACAAATTATGCTTCGTCACTAATGAGAGACAAAACTCACTACAGAGGCCGGAATTGGTCCAAAATGAATCCAAGAGTGAACTGAATCAAATGGAGCTTGGTTCCTACGATCCTCTGCGCTGTTTTAACTACCCGGGCCAGGTCTCTCCGGTTCTCTGCAGTGCAGCTGCTGTACCACATGGTGGCGCAGTGGCAGAGAATTGTCTCTATGGTGCTCCTGTAGAAGTTGACTAGGAGCTGAGAGGGGAGTTTAGCTTTTTTGAGTTTCCTCAAGAAGAAGAGCCTCTGTTGGGCTGTCTTCACCAGGTGGGAGGTGTTAAGGGCCCATGTCAGATCCTTTGTGATGTGGATTCCCAGGAATTTGATTTCACCTACACTCTCCACCTCCTCACCGTTTATGTGGAGAGGGGGAGGTGTGGTCTTCCTGGTTCTCCTGAAATCCACGATGAGCTCTTTGGTTTTTATAGTGTTTAGGACCAGGTTATTGTCAGTACACCACTCAACCAGATGTTGTACCTCCTCTCTGTAATGCGCCTCCTTGTTGTTTGATATCAGTCCTACTATAGTGGTGTCATCAGCGAACTTCACTATAGTGTTAGAGTGGATGTTTAGCATTTGAAAGCAAACATGTCTGATCTTCTGTACTGAGAGTTGTATGTTCATGTGTTGAAAATGTCCTCAGTGTTAAACCTGATTTTTAAGTCTGTAAACATATCACATCAACTGAATATTTTTCTTTCATTTCATGTTGTAACATTCCTGTTGTGATCCAGCGTTGATTTAATAAAAGTTATTCAAATCAATAGGATGTTTTTGTGCCTTCTTTTGTATTATTTTGTATGAATGATATGTTTGGAGAGAAAATCAGGACAATAGTATATATTGAAGAACTATTAAAATATGTAATTTTTTGGCACAATTGTGAAGCCAACTTACTCTCGAAAGTGTCTCCAAACTTTTGAGGATTTAACTTCTTTCCTCAAGCAAATTTTGAAGAATTCTAATTACACGACGTTCATTTAGCTGCTGGTTGTGACTTCCACTAAGTGCATTCATGTGAACAAAGGACAACTTCATCTGGGGAGAGGAGAAGGACAACATATCAACATCTGTGCCATCATTGACACATTTATATTACTTTTGATGCAACATATGTGGCAACTACTACAAGTACGACAACAACTGCTGCTCAAACTACAACAGCTACTATCAACTAGTACAATGGGCGTTGTCAAAGTTTTGATGACAGAAAAGTCTACTTCATGACATACTTATGAATATTTTTATGAAATACAATGTATGGTATGGTATTTTGTTCATGTTTCTCTTTTATGATTATTTTTATGGCATACTATACCATTTTTCGACATTTTTATGACGTACTATATTTTTTTATGCGTACTATACTATGACACTTTTTTTGACATACTATCCTATTTCATGGCATACTATACTGTGACTTTTTAATGACATTTTCAAATTACTATACTTTGATTTTTTCAACATACTATACAATGAAACATTTCAATTTAATTCAATTCATTTTGTATAGCCCAACATCACAAATCAAAAATTTGCCTCAGAGGACTTTACAATCTGTACACATCTGTACCCTCACATTGCTGCTTGGCCTTTTTCAAAATAGTATACCATTATGTCTTTAATACTTTTCTATAATTATTTCCTGACTTTTTTTTACAAACTGTAACATTACTTTTTATGACTTTTTTTTAAACCATTTTTTTGAAATAAAAAAAATATTCTGTGACTTTTCATGATTATTTATGGATTTTATGACATACCTTATACTACTACCGTATCTTGAAATGCAGATACATTTGGATTTATCGACATAGGTGTTTAGATGCCTGTCTTGGAGATTTACGCAATGCAATGAAGGTTGATGGAATTTAGTTTGCTCACAACATTAAAAATGTTATAATAAAATAGAAGGCAGCATGGTATTCAAAAAAACTGTGTTGCTTTTATAGTGGATAATTCACACAGAATACTGTAAACAGTTTTCAGAAGGACGACTTCCATGAAGCAATATATCCAAATTAAAACTGTTAACAGCATGTTTTGTACCAATCCATAGAAACAAGGACACAGATGCTGCTGTTTTTCGTGTGTTGAGCATCACAAACTCATTCCTCCAGTGCCCTCCATATTCCCTTCATTGGGGATACCAGCATAAAATTATCCGCATGGCTAGATACCACTAGAGATAAGTACATAATGAACTTAAGATCAGCTTTTCCTCTGCTGGCATCTCCCCCTCTTTCACACCACTGTACTAATAAAATATCAGTTTTTGAAAATCAACACTTTATTTTATTTCAACAGTTTATACAAATTGTAAATAATTATAAAATACATATTCTCTTCAATTTGTAATGGTAAACTTAACTCATTATAGACAGTCTTGTAGTGGAAGTGTGTATGTGTGTGTGCATAACATTTAGGTTTTTTTTAAGTTTGTCATGAGTGCATTAGTCTCTCTGTTCCTCTTCAGTCCATTTCCTCGTCCTTGGAAATGGGAAATTCCAGCGATGTCCTGAACCGAACGGGAACCTCTTGCTCCTCACTGGTTGGCTGCTTGGCTACAGGGGCGTGGATACGCAGTTGCCCATCATCCATCAGGGAACAGGAGAGACGCGACAGATCCAGGTGAGGGGGAAGGTCGATCTTCTGGACAAATCCCGTCTGAGACGAGGCCGAGGAGCAGAAGGAGGCTCTGGAGGAAGAAGAGGCGCAGGACTCGCTCTCTTCTGCTCCGGCCTGCTTCATGGCCACCACCGCCAGGCTACGCCCCTCCAGTTTGACAGTGATGTCATTGGGGGCGTAACCGCGAGCGTCTAGGGTCACCAGGAGGTCATTGTTGTTTGCTGTGGCCAGCTGGGCTTCCTTGTGCAGCTCCGTGCTGGGAGTCTCCCTCTCTTTAGCATCACTCAACCTGTAAAATAAGCAGACTAGATCAGAATCAGCTCCATGACTCCACTAGTGTCTGAGGGTGTTTTCAAACCTTTAGCCCGGTTGAATCAGACTGGTTCGACAGTACGTTTCGTTTGCAGACCAAAACAACCGCATCAAGACCTTCTAGAGTAATTGTTCCTAGACCGGTCATTAATTCATTCTAGAGCGATTTGTTTGTGGTGGGAATGTGATCTGACCTCGATCTGACCCGACTACAAGGCAAACTGTGCAAGTTTGAGCCAAAAGGCTCCTGTTGTCAGGTGTGCTTTGCATACTGTGAATGCAGAAGCCTGAAATCAACAGCTGCTGGAAGCTGGCCGAAGAGGGAATCAGAGCTTTTTGTGACTAATTCACTTGAAGAAACAAACCATGGGGAAAACGCATCATCTTCCCCAACTCATCCACTGATTCCGACTTGAACCAACCATAGGTTTGAAAACGCCCTTTAACAAAGCCAATCAGGTGGAACCACTACTGAGTAACATATTCATTGTACCTACCTCATCAAAGTAGAGGAAATAAGGGGAAACTGGCTAAATTTAAGCTGGTGGGGCCGATCGTGAATTCCCCTCAGAAGGCTGTCGGCCACTTTGGTTCTCTGGTTGAAGAAGTCTTGCTGCAGCGATGAGAGGGCCTTGTGACGCAGCGGCCACAGCAGCTGCTCCTGGCTGAAGAAAGGGTCCTCGCCGAACAAGCCGGTGAAGGCTGCATGCTGGGACATCATATCAGCGATATATAGACAGAAGCTCGACTTGCAACCTGCAAAGTGTCAGTTATCTGGTCAGATTCCCTCTCTCAGACTTGATGTCTTTAGTCTCCGGTGAAGTGTGAGAACTGAAAGCTTCCAGAGTTTCTTCTCTTTGTTAGTCTTCTATCGGGTAGTTTGGAACATTGCACAGGACTACCCTCCTTTATAAACCCCAGCTGTCCCGCTCCGTCCCTCCAACCGTGCTATTTACACCCCATGAGCTCACTGCTGTTTGTTAGTGTGTGCCAGCGAGGTCAGGAATGCCCTGCAACTCATCAAAAGGCTAAAGACAGCTCATGGTCATATCCTGTTTGTGTTATGTTCACACTGCATCGGAGTTTCGCTTCCTATTATATGCTGCAGATACAGATTAGCTCATTACACATTTTTCATGTAGCAGTATCAGAATATGTGGGTTAATAGTCGTTACTTTATTCAACAAATGTCTTTTCATTTAACACAAACTTTGCTGTTGGAAGTAAACAAAAAGTGAGAAGAAAAACTGGGCAAATCAGTCCCCTGAGGCAGTTCAGTGTATGGACATGAACTACTCATTGGATTGAGTTTTAAATATATTCTGCCTAGTAACGACGTTGTTTTTGTATCATTAAACATTTTTTTAGACAGTGAATTAGTTTTAACATTATATTAATAAGTTAATATTCAAGTTGTTAAAGTTATTTATTCATATAAATAAATAAATAAATAAACTTACTTTGTTGAAGTTGTTACGTTATCATAACCCCCCCTATTTACAGTCTTTATGCTAAGATAAGCAAACCAGCTGCTTGATATTCAACGTACAGGCAGGAGTGTGGTATCACTCTTCTCATCTAACTGTAGGAAAGAGAATGAATAAGCGTTTCTCCCAAAACTTGAATTTGTCAAACTGCCAGGACGTCACCCACAGCTAGAATTACATTGGACAATGAAACAAAATAGCTGACAATTCACTTCATTCCTACTGGAAAACTGACATATTGTAACTCAAATGTGTCGAAATGTGGTTATCAGTGGTTAGTGTGGTATCAGAACAGATGGGTAATCTTTTGCTATCATTGTGGCTCACATGTCTATGTGCCAAATTGTAAACATCCATTTTTTTCCTTCCAACAGATAAAATGACAACCAAGAATCCGACTTTAGCAGCAGTTCAGAACTCAGCATGTCGACCAGCAGTATGAACAAAGCCTGTTTTGTCTCAGGTTACGAGGCTTCTTCACTGCCTCTTCCATGGATGAGCTCAGAGTGCTATTATTTCCCAGAGTATGTCTGCATGTGTGTGAAGCAAGTGTGCTAACGTTACAAGGAACGGGTGTCATATCTATTCGTGGCTGTCTCGGCGTAAGCTCTGTAAAACTGCCTTCACGCCATTGGCTCAATTGGTGAACTGGCTCGCATGTGATTGGCTTATAACAGCTGCATCATTGTGGTGTTTTGTCACTTCTCACAAATTACATCTATTATTTTGATATTGTGATATGTGGTGAACAGTATTAGTCTTAATCTCCAAGCATCTAAAAAGGGTGTTAACGTGTGTTCCGTCCAGGAATAGGTGTTCATGCTGATTTGGATACACACAATTGGATTGAAGTTGGATGAATTAAGACATAATCAGAAAGAAAAAAAGAAAGATAGCAACCTTTAAATCATCAGGAGGACCACAGCAGAAATAAACAAGTGTGTCAATGAACCAAGGGATGCCAGGGACGTAAATAGAAAGGGAGATTCAAGATGGCTGCCGATTCCTCAGCTCTAAATTACTGGACTATTTTTATACCACCCAGCCTAGTCTGGTCAATATTTATGGTTGTATGAGATCATCCAGCTGAAGGGTTATGTCCAAAAAGATAAGCAAGAATACTTACAAGAATCATTAAGACATTTATTTCAATACAATATAACAATTTAAGAGTAAAGTTATATTCATGATAAAAAACTCATATTTAAAATGTGCCTATCAAACAACAGTAAAACATTTATAAACTATGTATTTATATAAGTGTGGTCAATACCACTGAGAGGAATAGTTTTAGGAAATACGCTTATTCAGAGTAATATGAGAGGATCGATACCACCATGTCTGCATGGTTAATATGTAGCTATGTAGCACAATGACCCTGGGAGCTGTGTTGTTGGGGCAATAGCTCCTTGTAGGGTCTCCCAAGGCAAAGTGGTCCCGGGACAAGGGCCAGACCAAGAGTGATTCACTGACCCTTTACCAATTGGCCAGAAAACTGTTACAGCACCTTGCCCGGAAGAGGGATAACACACACATGGTGCTCAACCGGGCACAGCCTTTAAATCTACATGGAGGCGCCACCCTGTGGGTCCACCGGGATATGCCTTGGGGTTGGGTGCATTGTGAGCCGGTGCGGCAGGAACCTGGGTGTGGTTATCACACTGCTCAGGGAGGGGCAATGCAAATTCTGTTTTGGCTGTTGGCCAGTTCTTTACCCTGGCAGGTCTGTTGGAGGGGTCCTGAGAGTTTCCCATCCAGTCTACATGTGTTCTGTTGACTTGGAGAAAGCTTACGACTATGTCCCCCTTGGAGTCCTGTGGGGTGTACTGCAGGAATATGGGGTACTGGGGTTGTTGGTACAACCCATTCAGTCCTTGTTTAAACAAAGTGAATTCTGTGTCCGTATAATCAGCAGAAAGAAAAACTTGCATCCAGAGGGTGTTGGCTTCCACCAGTGTTGTCCCTTGACACCAATCGTTTATGATTTTCAAGGACGGCATCTCTAGGGGGAGGAGTGTGTACACTTTGGGGACTTCAGAATTGCGTCCCTGCTCTTTGCAGATGATGTGGTTCAATTGGCTCTATCAGACTGTGACCTCCAGCACGAACTGTGGCTGTTTTTACAGCCGCGTGTGAAGTGAGAGTCATTACCTTAAGTCTCAGGCCATGGTTCTCTACCAGGAAACGGTGGATTGCTGAGCTGTGCTGGAGGGCAAAGCTCTAAATTTACCCGTCCCTCTACCTTCCGACCCTCACCTATGGTCATGAGCTTTGGGTCGTGACGGAAACGATGAGATCGCAGATAAAGGCGGCCGAAATTATCTTCCTTCATAAGGTGGCCAGGCTCAGTCTTATAGATAGGATGAGGAGCTCAGCTATCCAGAGGGAGCTTGGAGTAGAGCTGCTGATCCTTCTCGTCTAAAGGGGCCAGCTGAGGTGGTTTGGGCATTAGATCAGGAAGCCTCCTGGACGCCCCCTTTAGAGGTTTTCGGGGCACGTCCAACGTATTAAGAGGAAAGGCAGAGAACACACTGGAGAGACTATGTATCTTGTCTAGCCTGAGGATGCTTCTGGATCCCCCAGGAAGAGCTGGAAGACGTTGCAGGAGGGACTGGAATTAATCTTAAATTGTATTACAAATGTAATGTATATATATATATATATATGTAATTTCCCCCAAGATGCTACAGGGCCACAAGACTAGCTAAAAATGATATTTGTTTTATTGGTGGAAATTCCTTTGTTCAAATAGGCCAACCCTACAAGAATTTGGTTACAAACTATAGGAAGAGATCAAGCTACAATTTCTCAAAAGCTTTGATAAATATCCTCATGTTCTCCATAAATGTCCACAATTAGTTCATCCAATGGCTCGGATGCATTTTCATAGTCGGCTTCATCGTCACTGGTTTCTTCTTCTTCCTCATGACCTTCGTTACTCTCTGGCTCCTCATAATCATCACTCTCTGGCTCCTCATAATCATCACTCTCCTCTTCTTCCACTCTCCCAGCTTCCTCTTTGAGTTTCTTCTTGGTGTCCGCTGGATTAATGTTCTGGTAGACATCATCCTCGTCCTCATACTTGTTATTTTCATAATCGTTGCTGAATCTGACAGCCACTGCAACACAAGCACAAACACAAACATCAGGACAAAATGTCTCATGAATATCAGAGGGAATTCTTCACAAGCATTCAAACACAAACAATGGATCAATGGATGCTGATGACTGCATTTTGGGTGCAAATTCAGGAGGCTCATCTCTCTACAGAGCACGGAGACCCATTGACACAGGCCAAGGAGCAAGATGTCTGTGAATATTACATACACTTTAATATGACTTTATAATATAATATTCTTCTTATTAAATATGAATATAGACATCATATTTGGGGGATGATGTAAGATACAGACTTTGCTTATCCAGTGCCAATGTGATGCATAAAACAGAGATGAAATCTCATGCTGTCCCCTGATAATACTATTCCCATGTGAATAAGGCTTTATTCCTTTCATGTAATGTGCTGTGTGTCCTGGTGAGCACAGACATTGAGTTTGGACAAGGTTAACAGGCTGCTCGGATCGTCTCTTTCTCTTGCAGACCAGACAGACCGCCACCAAGACCAGCAGGAGCAGCAGCGGAACCACGACAGCTACTGAGGAAACCAGCGGCAACAGAGACACTAGGAGAGAAAGACCTTTGACAGTTAATGGCATTAATAAATCGTCTCTATCCATACACTAACTGCTATCTTGTCAGAGAAGACATGTTTGAGCTTCCTGTGTTAGTTATTTAAGGAAAAACATGAAAAATTCATTGCTCACTTTACCCAAATTTATAGCGCATACAAATGTGGAATCGAGCAGAATAACAGCAAGTTGAGATGTTTTGTGCTCAGTGTGATTTTCACATGGGTTAAAGAGTGTGGGAAATGTGAGACAGAGCATTGTGTGAAAATGTAGAATTGGGTGTAACTTCCTACTTCTACTAATAACAGAAGTTGCTGGACAGAAAACCACGGTTCATATGTACAACATAGCGGAAGGTGCTGAACTACAAACTGACCAACGCTAAAAAAAGATTCTTAAAGAGTCACTGCTAGATCTATCTCTCTGTGTGTGTCTCTGAACTTGAAGAGAGTTTATTTTTTATGGTATAAAGTCATAATAAAATGTTTGCCGTAGCTTTGTGTATGTTAAATGTACGTATTATAGCCTGAACAATACATACAAAGCCCGATCACATAGAGCTTACATTTCTTTCAAACTGATATTGCTATTTGGAAGTGTAATATAACAATATAGTGGATGGGCCAATGAGAATTGTTTGTAAAATGATATCACACAACATAAATCAGCTTGGTCTCAGGACATTTGAGAATTAAACAAATCCACTTGTTGATGCTCTCAAATGAGCTCTAACTGCCGACATATACAAACCATATATCTACCATAATCTACTATTGTCCAACATATATCAGCCTGGTTGATTTATCATATATGGATTTATAATATGGTTTGATATCCAATTTAAAACATGAAACAGAGAAAAGCACTTAGAGTGGGTATATAATAAAGTGGAGCTCAATGACTTAAAATGTGTATATATTGGTTAAAATATTTTAGTTGTTTTAAGTACATTGTTACTAATTGTGATGGTGGTGATGATTGCAATGATAACATTACAGCTCCTCATGTTATCATTATATGGTCTTCTCTCTCCATGTCCCTTCTCAGCCCACATTTCCTTGTTCTCCTACTTGTCTGTCAGACCTTCACTGCTCGCTGATGTGTCTCCTCCCACTTCCCTTATCTGTCCCCGTCACACCAACTCTTCTTGAAAGGACAAGGAACATCACTAAATAAATGAACCTAAAGTTGCATCGTCACTCCATGCATGCTGCAAATGTACCAGATCTTCCAACGATCTTTCACATCCACAGGCCCACAGAGCAAGCGCACTAGCTATTTCTTAAACCCCGCCTCCAAGCTATTGGTCCAGCCTCGTTCTCAGGCTCATTCACATAAACGGAGGAAGGAAAATTACTCTGGATTCAGCTGAAAGTTAATTTTACAACTTCTATGACCTCCTGATTTAAATAAGAGCTATTCATGTGTTCCTAATGGGGAGTTCCATCCATCCATTACGTTTAACTGCTCATCCTGCTTATCAATAATCTAAGCTGCAGGTCTTTAGACTGTAGGAGGAAGCCGGAGAACCCGGAGAGGACCTGCAAACTCCACATAGAAGGGCCGTCCAGCCCGGGAATCGAACCCACGCAGTGAGGCAAGAGTGTTAGCCATTACACCACCAGGCAGGCCTAATGGGCCTGCATTGATTTACTTTTTTTTTTTTTTTGTAACCACGAGTTACATACGTGTCTTTTCTAATTGAAGTCTATGGGAAGAAGTCTTTTTGAGCCCCATGGCATCACGTGATGGACCCGGAAATTGTAATTCCATATTTTGGCCACTATGGAAAATAGTTTTCTTCAAAGCCCGGCGCTCTTCCTGGGTGCTTGGATAAAAACAGTAATGGACACATCACTCTGTCTTTTTTTGCACCAATTTTCTTTTGGGGGGATGAATAGAGGGCAATAGTCCAATGGTCACCACTGCTGCAGCACTACTGCATGCTTAACGATATGTGACTTGTTTTATCTGGAGGCCAATCTTAATTGACATGAAATGTCATTATGTTATATGGTTGGTACATGCACAAGCCATGCAGCTCATTGTTTCTCTATCTGCTGCGGTTTTATTGGAAAGTTTTACTGAAACCGTTAATAAATGGTTGTGTTGCTGATTCACCTACACATAGTAAATAGTGGCCACCATCACTCAGCTATTGTCCCTGAACTATAGCAGCGCTTAGTTTAAATACACTCTACTTACTTTTGATGATGACAGTAATCGTGGCTGTCATGGTGGAATTGAATCTCCGTGCAGACAGTGTGACTTCATACACACAGCTGTAGCTCCCCAGGTGCTCATACTCTGCCACAGGGAAGTCAAAGGAGGCCGAGCGGTTGACTGCTGGCTTAGTGTTGTTGAGGCCGGAGCCAGAGGAGATGAGGGAGAAAACACCTCCGGGATAATGGGAGGAAATGGAGCAGGTGAAGACAAAGCTGTAACCCCTGGTGACCTCGGCACCCTCGGGGCCCCAGACCAGCCCTCCGTTAGGAGACGTCAGGGAGATGCTGGGCTGCTGCAGCGGCACTGAGTACAAAAGGGACAAACATGAAAATATATAATTCACTAGATTTGTAAATCAGCAAATATCAGATCAAGATGGCTTCCGCACACACAGCAAAGATATACTGATGCACTAAATATTTTTTCAATATTTAGTATTATAATATATAAATATTCTATCCAGAAAAAAAATTTGTAATGGAAAATGTACAAATACGGTGTGGCGTGATGACCCGTTATTATACAAAGATGTTTTTTACTCATTACTTAAATGTGCCCTAAATGTCAACAAACAAATGTTATGTTGACATTTAGGGTTTCATCACCCTAAAAAAATGTAATAAATCCTCAAACAAAATCCTCAATTTGAATGAAGTGATCCATCTGATGAAATGACATGTTTCTTTTGTGAATATAACTCATCAGAAGGGTGGACGAGAAAATGGAAGGTGGATTATTACATGCAATTTCTGCAAGTTATTAATAACTTACTCGCCCGAACCCGCAATTCTATTGTAAACTTAATTGAAAATTAAATATTACTGCTTCAAGAAACTTACCTTGTCAAATGGGTCTGTAATTGTAATTGTTTTTCTGTTATTTGTTGTGCTGTATTATTCTATTTATTCATAAATTTGTCTTACCAGTAACAGAGAGTCTGACAGAGTCACTTAAGGGGGAGCTGAAGTCTCGACGAGAAACCTTTATCTGATACAGACACTTGTATGATCCTTCGTTTCCAAAGTTAACTTTTAAGATGTTGAACGTAGCAGAGTTGGTACTTGATGTTTGGGTCTTTCTGAATGAGCCTGAGGTCTGCTGCAGAATGAATGTTCCCCCTAAATGCTGAGTTGAGATAAAACAAGTGATGCCGGCGTCCTGACCCCAGGTAACCTCACCAACAGGACTGATGGAGATGCTGGGCTTTGGGAGGCTCACTGAAAAAAACCCACAATCTTAGAGTGATAAATCGATTGACTTTAAGCTAAGGTATACCTTTCTACATTTTTTTTGGTTGGCTATATTTCATGTCATGTCAAAACTAAGATCAAGTTTAGGGAATGGATTAATTTCCTTACCAGTAACAGAGAGTCTGACAGAGTCACTTAAGGGGGAGATGACGTTTAGTCTTGAAACCGTGGTGTTGTACTGACACTGGTACGATCCTTCATTGTTAAAGTTGACTTCAGTCATGCTGAAGGTAGCAGAGTTGGTTCTTGACATTTGGGTCTTTTCGAATGAACTTGAAGCCTTTTTCAAAATAAATGTTGCACTTGAAAGCTGTTGAGTGGGAGTTGAGATGGAACAAGTAAAGACGACATTCTGACCCCAGGTAACGTCACCGACAGGATTCATGGAGATTCTGGACTTTGGGAGGATTGCTGAAAGAAAGCACAACAATATCATATTAAATGTGTTGTATCTTTGATCTTGGCTGGACTATTATTTTCTCCATATGCAATTCAGAGCATATCTATTGCCTCCCCACGGCTCTCAACGTGGTGATGGCTGATCCCCAGCCATAGACTGTACATAAGAAGTGGACGTAGTCGTCCTGACATCACCCATTGGTTTGTGGATAGCAGCTTTGTAGCCTCGAGTTCGGTATTTTGGCCGTTGACATCTTGGTTTTTTGCAAGTGACCATATTTGTACGGCGGCGGAGGGACGTAGAGACACCATATACGGCTCTATCAATCACACGCCATGCCTTAAAGCATTCACCCTATCAGAGTCTATATGGACTCTAAATGGACCATAATTTACTAAATGAACATCATGCTGTATTGAAGAAGACTTGAAACTAGAGATTGAGACCATAAACTCATGTTTACTGAGGTAATAAATCAAGTGAAAACTAGAGCAATTTTCTCATAGACTTCCATACAACCAGCCTTCCATTTGCAACCAGAAGAGTTGCCCCCTCATGGCCAGTAGAGAGAATGTAATTTTAAGACACTTCAGTATTGGCTTCACTTTTCAGAACCGGAGGTTGCCGCTCACTCGCAGCTAGCGGTGCCAACAGCACCAACAGTGCAAACAGTGCTGATGGAGCTAACAGTGTTTACCTGAGGGGGGATCAGAAGGTGGGCCCAACACTTCCGCAACAGCGTCGTTGGTCTGGAGGGCGTTACCACAAACTGATCTCACAGAAATATGTGAATTAACCTCAATCTCTAAACAGCGCATTCGGTGGAGGTGCCAAGTAATGAGTCAAAATTACGCATTGGGATCCTTTGTCGTGGTGGACACAGATAAAACACATCCACATGAATATCCAACACTCTGTGGTTGGGTAGAGGGGAGGTGGATGGGTCAAACAACTTTGTCCCAAAGTATTATTGAGTTATGGTGCGTTCACACCAAACGCGGCACGAATTATTCGCGGGAGTAGATTACATACAAAGTCTATGCACAGACGGGATGAGACTGGAGTGACGTGAATTTGCGACGACGCGGTGCGATTGACGCAAATTCGCGGCCAACGGCAAATCGCCCCAAACGCATGAGTTGAAATTTTTCAACTTTGCCGAAAACATGGCGTGACGCTGTGGCGCGATAGCCTATCAGCGTTGAGATGTTTCTCCTGTCATCACTGACGTCCTGCCGTTGTTTAATCAGGAAATAAATACTGTATCGGTCTGTATTCACCCAGAGCTCTACGATACCTCATATCAATAGAGACCCGACCAAACTATGTGTATGCATGTGTGTGTAAACCATATGGTACAAACAATGAATAGACGCTGCCGTATTTACGTCTAGATGACGTTATTCTGAGTGTTGGTGGAGCTGCTACAATGTTAGCTTAGCCTAGCACCAATCGATTTGAGCTCCATTGAGAAAACAAGTACACATCGGCATCATTACGTAGTTATTTCAGAGTCCCTTTTTGTCGGTTTATTGCCGTTAAATCACAGCCAAATCAGTTTATTTTGTGTTCATACAGCTGTAGTAAACAGCGACGTGTGGCTTGCTAGACACAGTGAATACAGCTCGATAAAATCCACGGAGCTCCTCCGGACTATGTTATGAACCAAGACATGACGGCGTTTAGTTTCCCGGGATATCTGGGACTTCCACAACACGTACTAAGGAGAAATATAGGTTATTTTTTCCATGGTTAATGGTGGACAGTTGAACGGCTTTCAGGGCGATAAGCCACGCCCCCTCTCCAGCGCGTCCAGCACGATTCACGCGAATGAACACAAATAATCCCTGGCGAGACTGGCGGCGCAAATGACGCGGATATTGAAAATAATGCAAAAAGAGTCTGTGTTTTTTGGAGATCTTTTAACTTTTTTTTCAGTCATGTGTGTGCTTTGCATCACTCACACAGACAGCATATCAACTATTCAAAAAGTCGTCTTCATTTTAATTCATGGGGTGTTAAGCAACATTTCACAGTTGTTATTCTGCTCTTCAATTCTAACAGCATGCTGCAGGGTGTGGTTACCAGCACTTTACCCAGTGCTGCATCCAAAAGGCTCATCAGAAATTGTCACATTTATCCAAAGGTTTTCTCACCTGAACAGATGACACCAGCGTCCTCACGGTGTGCACAGTTGTGTGTCCCAAATCCTCTGTGCTGACACACAGTTAGAGACCTTTCAGTTCCTGAACAGCCAACATCATCAAGCCAGATGTTGCCGGTTCCTTGACCAAAGTGGGCCGACTGAGGAGCACTCAGTGCCGTACCACAGTGCAACTGTCTGCACACTACCTCAGCGTCCTTTAGGTCCCACTCATCATCACATACTGTTCCCCAGGCACTGTTGTAATAGATTTCAACTCTTCCAGAGCAACGAGTAGACCCAGACCCAACTAATCTGATCTGAGCATCTATCAGAAACACAAGACACAACATAACAAATAACTGTTAAGTTATTTACAAAGAACATCAACTGAAAACTGTAAAGATTTTATGCATCACACCGTAGAACTGACTGACCTGCAGCAGGTGAAGTTGAGGTCAAGAGAAAAGAGACTATAGAGAGAAGAGAACACAGAGTATGGCTCATTACATTCAGCAAGCTGAAAAGTGCAGAAATAAAACTTTGCCTTGTTGTGTTTTGGATTCTCTTGATAATTCAAATAAAATGAAGGAGCTTTAAACTGAAAGTGAAACATGTTCATACCATACAATAAAACTGCTGTACCATACACAAAAAAGCAACTTTCCAGATATAATTTGGGAATATGTCTTACCAATGGCCAAATAACGAAGGTTTCTCTGCTGTATGATCTCCATGGCTGAAACATTTATCAGTGACAGAACAGACGACAGAAAACTGAAGTTCAAACCACGATACACAAAAAAAAAAAAAAAAAAACTCCACACTGCTCAGTCCTTCCTGGAAAGCTTCCTCTTTATTTGTCAGCTAAGACTAGAGTGATAAAATTGGTTCCGAGCGTTGTCACACACATACCACATATAAAAAAAACAAGCTACCCTTTGTGTCAGTTCTGGTTCATTTAAGGCCCGTATATTTGTTATGACCCGGCTCTTAGACCACAAAAAACAGGACACACACCATGACAAAGTTTTACCAAACGTTTACTAAGCCAAATTATACCACAATTAAGCTGCCAACTAAGGATTATTAATCAGTGGTGTAAGTGTGCATGAGGGATGGATGTGTGTTTGTGTGTTGGAGGGGTATATAATCGTATATCATACCATTAAATGTACATTTTGTATTACTAATTTGAATCTGCAAAGTAAGTACTAACTAAAGTAAGCACATACATGTAATAGAGGTTCAATATTTTCATTTTGAATGTAGTAGAAGTACTGAAAATACTCAAGTACAGTACCTCAAAATTGTACTGAAGTATAGTACTAAAATGTACTTTTTACAAAGCTATATTACAAATAGCCATCAAGTGCACATCTGTAAACTGCTTTGTACAAAGTGAGAATGGGAATCTTGACAGGCTTAGTGACAGTAACTAAGGGGGTCGGGGCTCAGCAAATGGTTGATTGCCTACATCACTGTTTAATTAATTATGTGTTAGTTCACCAACTCTTAAAGTTTCTGGCCTTTTCTTTTGTATGTTTGTTCTCATCTGAGATTCAATTGAAGGCTGTTTTGTTTACGGCAAAAGGCATAAATATTTTAAACAGCGATCAATGTTCAGAACTTGAATATCTGAGCAGTAAAGCATGCTGGACACGTGTACATGCTTTTCACATACAATTTTTGTTCAGACCTGCACAAACTGCTACTCACAAGTTAATATCTTTAGTAAATTCTAGCTATGGCAGCCATATGGAATAGCGTGAAGGGCTGTATGTGATGATGTCAAACACTATGTTCCCTGCTCTCTCACACATCTTTTGAGTATACCATACATAGTAGAAAATTAAGAGTAATTCATGAGTTATCATTTTACAACCTCAGCATTTTTAACAGTTGAAGCTCGACCACTTGTTCCTTCTCTCCTACAGCTGGGGTAATGTCAGATTGAAACCAACACTGGTTCCTGTTCAAGTATCACAACCTCATCAATAACACAAACCTCGGCTATGCCAGCAGGAATATCACTTCTTCAAAAATTCCAACAATTGAAGACTCTTGACTTTATGTGGCACTTGAAATTGTTTTGGGGGAAATTTGCAGACAGGATGTCACGTCTGCACAAGGCAGAACAACAGAGTAGGGCCCGCCCACGCCCGCACGCGGGCCCGCCGGCCCGCCCACGCCCGCACGCGGGCCCGCCCACCCACACCCGCACGCGGGCCCGCCCACCCACACCCGCACGCGGGCCCGCCCACCCACGCCCACACACACACACACACACACACACACACACACACACACACACACACGAGATGAGGCCCTTTGAGTCCAAAGGTAATCAGAAGAACCACAAGTAAAACAATGAAACAAAAATGCTGGCAAAATGCTGAAGTGAGTAACAGAACATCCAACATCCAGAAATGAGCAAAATGACAAATCCAACGGGATCAGGTACACCGGGATTTCAATCAGGAGAGACAAGTCAGATAAAGAAAAGATAGTTTATTAACAGATATGTGATGATGAAGTCTTGACAGAGTCTTTGACACTTGGACTCTACAGGGAGATTTGTAATCAAGGGCCGTCTGCCCTGAGCAACAGCAAGATAAATCTCCCTGTGGAGTCCAGGTGGTGGTGGCGGCTGATGAGTTAATGACGCTGATGACTGAAGTTTGGGTGGAGATGGGGAGGTGGAGGAGCACGTAACAGCAGCACGAACGTACTGAAGGTAGAGACACAATCAAATTTAAAAGAGACAGCTGACAGGCTGATGATGTAATTGTTTCGTTGTCCTGTCGGATAGAGGAGACCAGCTGATCTAAACAGCTGATATCATGACCGACAGCCCCGAACAATGACAGCAATGAAATTATGTGCGAGGAGTGAAAAAACAAAAGTGTGTTGTGTTCATTCAATTCCAGTTTCATTTATCAAGGTTTGACCCACACAACAAACTTCTTTTTGTTGCACAGACCGGGTCTTATTACCTGAGATTTCAGACACCAGTTCCCCACCAATCTTAGTACCACTTCCACCATAAGGATTAGAACGAGCATCAGAACCCCTCATGCGTGTGCTTTTCTTCTGTTCAGCTGTGTGTTTGTGAACCATTTTTATTTACCTTTATTTATTTTGTATCAGATGTTAAGGATAAGGTCATGTGCAACTACGCCTACAAAAAGGTCATGGCCTATGCACGGTGGGAGCCCTGGCTGGCATACAGAAAAATACTCGAGAGTTGAACACAGAGTCAAACTTGAGTCCCTTTAGCCTCCTTGTAGTAAGTAAATCCACCAATGCAGTGGAAGCCCAAATTGCCCAACAGTACATGGACTGTTGCCTGCACCACCTGGCCGGATGAAGTGACCAGCTCCTTTCTCTTAAGTTCTCTCATACTGACAGCATCCTTGCTAACAGCTTGTCATGTGCAAAGCAGTTGAAGTCTCTCAGGGCACAGAAGCAGAAGTTGTCAACACGATGGAGCGACTCAAAGTTAACACCCACTATTTTGTGCTTTCTCAGTGGTGTTCAAATAGGGTTCACTTCCTCAAATGCATCCTGGTACAAGATCAGCTTTAAGCTTATACCCAACCAACACAAACATCAGTGAACACATTAGTAGAGGCGGCATTACTTTGCGACTTCACACTCACTCGCCACACAACAGGGTCTTTTTATCATGGCTTTGAAAGTATCTTGAAGGGGGGGGGGGGATATACTGTGCGTAGAATTGGAAATACTCCTCTTGCTGGTTTGCTTGTTATTCGTGATGATACAGACGAGGTGTACTGCCTAGTTAAGTAACCGATACCCGCTCCCAGTGTGGGTAAGGCACTGGAAGACGGCTTGTTCTGTAACCTTTGATAGGTAACGAATGTACCTCCCACAATCTACACGCAAGACCACCTCAGCCTGCTTAGGGGGGTGAAGTCTGCATCATTTAAAACACTAGCTGCTGTATCGCTTTTTTCAGGCTAAGAAGTCGGCCTCTCCAACAGCCGGAAATCAACGGATTGTGTGTGCAATAGATGGTGGAGGTCTGGAAGAACTCCAGGATGGCACTGTTTAAAAGGGCCACCACTGGAGGAGGAACCCCGTGTGGTTGGGAAGCTCGCTCAGTTATGAAGAGCAGCTTTAGGACCCTGTCCCTAACATCCTCAATTTAGATGCCAATCTGACCCCTATTGCTTCACTAAACCACAACAGGTAATATTTAAGCCCTGTTATCACATGCAACACCAAGCATGATAAACCAGCAGAGCGTCAGAACAATCTGAGCCAACCAAGTAAGTAAATCACGTAAGATTGAATTACACTATTTTAACCCTAACTTGTAGCAGGTCTGCTATTCAAATTCAACCTTTCCCAGGAGAAGAGCTCTCTTACCTTTAGGAGACTACAAAGGCACCCTCAGAGACGAGCAAGACTGGATTTATTTAGAATCAGAATCAGCTTTATTGGCCATGTATGCGTACGGTTTCCACTTCGCTGTACATACACAAATTTACAATAAACAAGAAAAAAAAAAAAATATAAAAAAAAAAAAAAAGGGGAAAAAAAAAAAAAAAAAAAAACAGATGTAGGTATAAACATTTAACAATATAAGTATAAACATATCCAAAAAAGTATATATATGAACATAGACCTATAAACAACAATGGCATGAATTGAGGCGATAGTGCAATATCCCTTATTTATTGTTCATCAGAGTGACGCCAGTGGAAAGAAGCTGTTCCTGTGTCTGGTGGTTTTGGCGTACAGAGCCCTGTAGCGCCTACCAGAGGGGAGGAGTTGGAACAGCTTGTGTCCAGGGTGTGAGGGGTCTCCAGTGATCTTTCCACCCTGTTTCCTGACTCTGGAGGTGTACAAGTCCAGGATGGACGCCAGGCTGGAACCAATGATCCTCTCTGCAGACCTGACAATCTGTTGCAGTCTGTTTCTGTCCTGTTTGGTGGCCGATCTAAACCACACAGTGATAGAGAAACAGAGAACAGACTGGATGATGGCTAAGTAAAACAGGATCAGGAGTTCCTGAGGCAGGTTGAACTTCCTGAGCTGGTGCAGGAAGTACAACCTCTGCTGGGCCTTTTTCCTGATGGTGTTGATGTTGGGAGCCCACTTCAGGTCCTGGGAGATTGTGGATCCCAGAAACTTGAAGGTCTCCACAGCGGACACAGTGTTGTTGAGTATGGTGAGGGGGGGGAGGTTAGTGTTAGGGGGCTCCTTCTGAAGTCTACTGATCTCCACAGTGTTGAGCCTGTTAAGCTCCAGGTTGTTCTGACCACACCAGAGGACCAGCTGTTCAACCTCCCGCCTGTACGCAGACTCGTCACCGTCCCTGATGACCGTTGTGTCGTCTGCGAACTTCAGGAGTTTAACAGACAGGTCCTCTGAGGTGCAGTCGCTGGTGTAGACTTTGGTTGGAATATACAAAATACAAACTAGTTTTATTTGTTTTTTAAAATAAAGTTACAGAAATGGATAATGCAAAAAGTAAATAAAATAAAAGACAAAATTCAAAAAATAAATTCACTAAATAAGCTTCTCTTTACCACCTGTAGGTATGAAGGTCCTCCGCCTGGTCTTTTTGTCTTTTTTCTTCAATAAATATGTTAGACAATGTCCTTTTTGAAAATTATTTTGCTCCTTTTTTCAGGAGAAATGTGACTTTCAAAACCAGGCAAGTATTTGTCATTATATTTTATAAATGCTTAAAACAAGTGTGTAATAACAAAAAGTAAATAAACGGATTAGAATTGTTATCAGTTTCTCTTTATAA